AAAAAGAAAAAAAAAAGGAGGAAAGCAACTGGTTTATGCCATAGGCTTCGGTTCAATGGCAAAGGGAGTATAGCGCGGGATGTGTTGTAGGCACATGTTAGAGGCGGGCCCATTATCTATTGAGTTCCGAAGCTAGAAATAGCTTATTTTTTGGTTATTTAGAAAATAGCAAAGTAACTGGCCTATTCTATGGCTTCGAGACTATTCCCTCCTGTTGAATATTCTGAAATTTTTAGCAAAAACCTCTGCCTTCCCAAAAAGGGAAATAGATGGGACAATTGCATATTCATAGTTTCCACTGTTGCTTAGGCAGTGCATGAGATGTTAAAACTTAAAACTATAACATGCAGCCAATACAACCAGTTTTCTGTAAAAGGTGTCACATATTTGAATATAAAAGGCCTTTAAATAATATCAGGCTATAGCTATAAATAGTATTATTCAGGTTAGTGGTGACATGTTGCTTTACGGCACCCAATTTAGTAGGCTGGCATAATCGAGCCAGTTTCATGTTCTTTTTGGCATATTTATCAACGGGAAGATAGTCTTGGTGTGTGTAAACGGGATGTGAATCCATTTTCAGTTTAGTGCTATTGGTTTCGTTTGTAGGTTTTTGTTTTATGATTTGATAGAGCTAGAGGCTTAACAGGAATAGAGACACCAACTCACATTCAAGAAAACTGATTTAAAGCAAACTTACTTGAGTGTACTGATTTATTTGAAGTCATCACTTACAGAATTATTTATTGGTGCAGCTTTCGCGATTGAAAACAAGAAGTAGGAGGCCGAAGAGCTTACTGAAGTTGGTTTCTTGTGGGAAGTGCCTCTCTGGTAGGTCTCCAAGGTAGTAGTGAGTCAAAAATGAATGTATCAGAAAACTTAGGGGCAGATTTTCAGTTTTAGTCATTCTATTTGTTCAGGTCAATCTTTGTTAAGAGGGTCAATTTCATTTTTCCAATAATAAAGTAGAACATGAAAAATGGAAGATGTAACATTATTAATATAGCCTTTTAGTTTCTAGCCTTTTTCTTTTAGATGTCTAAAATAGTTTTGGGAGTAATCTCAGGTGCAAGACTCATCTACATTTTTTTTTATTGGCAACCAGTTCTCCTTTGCCAGATGTGAATTGTGTTGGATTCTTAGTTAAGACTTTTGTTTCAATGGTCATTTTTTTAAGATGTAGTTTGGAAAAAAAAATATTCTGGAAACATATTCGGAACTTAAGAGTAAAAGATTATGCATTCAAACCTATAAGAGCAAACTTCATTTCTAGCCACTCGGGCCAAACTTATATCACCCAGTAGCCACAAAATGACCCCATACAAGTCATAGCCTAAAACAATAATAACGGCTAGAAACTAAAAAACCTGAAAGTGCAGCAAATTTCCTAGATACCTGCTTCTTAAACTGCCAAATATTATTGAGTTTGGCCATACATATAAGTACGCTTAGTTGTTTCACCTTCATCACACTATCACTGATTGTCTATCAGTACATGTTGTAACTCGAAAAGCAATTTCCCCAAAAGTAAACTCCCGCAAGTGCTGAGGATGAAGAAGAAAAGGAGTGATATCATACATTTATGATAAAAAAATTTGCAAGCTTAACAGGACAAATTGTTAACGAGTTCCCAAATCTGATAATGTTAGATTTCTCTAATGCATAAATAGGACGGTCCATTCTCAACTTGAACTGGAGAATGTGAGTCACATTCCCTACTATCACAGGGGCATTTTCTGTCCGTTGAAAACCTATCCGTTGTGCGGCAGTCAAGTCCCTACTTGGCTCAGCCTTCATTTGATTTCTTTCGCTTTCAAGGTTTAACACTTAAAATAATTTTAAGGCAACATAAAATATATAAAGGAACACGCAAAATTATGAGAACTCTTTCCCAACCTTTTATAATGAATGAATTACAAAGGAAAATCTCGAGTTTGGCAAGGTGCTGCCACCCTTGGCCGACACCAACTCACAAAATTACCGACTCTTGCACAATCTGCCTTATAAAAGCCCCTGCCTAAGACATTCCGTGCTGCCCACTGATTTTGGCAAGGCAATAGCACATAATTTGCCATGCTCAAGCCTTGACATAGACAACCCTATGTCTACATCTTGCCTATTTTCCCTCCCTAGGTACTTAGACGGATTTATGGGCTGCTAGCACACATATTTATAGTGTAGTCAGCCCTTTCCAATTTTCCTATTTCAGTTGACACCCCCAACTGATAGGCTATGATCACCCATGATAAAAAACTTGCATGTCATGATCTAACATGCTTAAAAACGTGCATCAACTTAGCCCCATAATCAACCACTCTTGGACAAGGTAGTTGTAACCGCCCAACTGCACAGCATGTGCTCAGCACACTTTGTAACCGCTCCATGTGCACTGCATGTGCGTGTTTTTGGCCAGCTGCTGCACGCCCAAGGCTGGCATTGCGCCCAGCCTTGCCCTTTGACACTTCTCCGCCCCAATGTCATAGCCATAACTTGTCTCCCATGAATTAGCCGCACACAGGCCCGCTGCCACAACCACTTGTTCATGTCAAGTCGCCCCTACTTAATTAAGTCTGCCCTTTGCCAATGCCATAGCTGATATTAGCATCAAGTCACCAAGCCATGATGCCATTTCCCTTGCTAAGTCGTTTGCCCACAAATTACTTAGGTGCCAGCCCACTCACCTAAGCCAATGCAACACCGTGTTGCCAATGCCACTGCCTTGGCACTAAGCCGCCTTGTCTTAGTGCCTAGGCCTTTCCCTCATTACCTTGCCAAGATTCCTACCTTGCCCCTTGAAGAACTTAGCCTTTGCTTGCACATAGCTCCACTCGGGTTTTAGTATAGTCCGTCACACCTTAGCCTTACAACAGTTTGTTGCCATTAACAACGCCCGCATTGTCTTGCATATTGATTGCCCCGCATATGGGACAATGGCAAGGCCATCATGCCAAATCTTTACCACTGCCGCGCCATTTGCCGATCAACTTTGTCAAGGGTATAACAAACCTCCCCAACCAGTTGAATTCGACGCCCTCGTCGAATAATCCCAACACATGCTCGCCATTTGCAAAGATATCACAAGTTCAATAGCCTTGTAAGAATTATGTTGTCCTTGCCCTTAAGTGCAACGTTTTTCTCATTTGCTTTTCCTATCTGTCCTTCCCACAACAAATCCAACATGCAACTGGCTTGACTTAAAATAATCCACCGCTGATTTTAGCACTCATGAACTCGAAATTTTGCATACTGCCTTGCTTCCCTTTCCTGAATTTTCTAAGCATGGACAGTCCCTTCCACGAACAAGCACACTGACCTTTTGTCTTGCCGTCTTGTCCATGGATGTCTCTCCCTCGTTCTGAACTTGGCTCTGATATCAGTTGTCACAGGGGCATTTTCTGTCCGCCGAAAACCTGCCCGCTATGCGGCATTCAAGTCCCTACTTGGCTCAGCCTTCATCCGATTTCTTTCGCTTTCAAGGTTTAACACTTAGAATAGTTTCAACGCAATATAAGATATATAAAGGCATATGCAGAATTACGGGAACCCTTTTTAAACCTTTTATAATAAATTAATTACAAAAGAAAATCTCGATTTTGGCAAGGTGGTGCCACCCTTGGCAGACACCAACTCACAAAATTGTCGACTCTTGCACAATTTGCCTTATAAAAGCCCCTGCCTAAGACATTTCGTGCTGCACACTGATTTTGGCAAGTCAATAGCACATAATTTGTCATGCTCAAGCCTTGACATAGACAACCCTATGTCTACATCTTGCCTATTTTCCCTCCCTAGGTACTTAGACGGATTTATGGGCTGCTAGCATACATATTTATAGTGTAGTCAGCCCTTTTCAATTTTCCTATTTCAGTTGACACCCCCAACTGATAGGCTATGATCACCCATGATAAAAAACTTGAATGTCATGATCTAACATGCTTAAAAACGTGCATCAACTTAGCCCCATAATCAACCACTCTTGGACAAGGTAGTTGTAACCGCCCAACTGCACAGCATGTGCTCAACACACTTTGTAACCGCTCCATGTGCACTGCATGTGCGTGTTTTTGGCCAGCTGCTGCACGCCCAAGGCTGGCATTGCGCCCAGCCTTGCCCTTTGACACTGCTCCGCCCCAATGTCATAGCCATAGCTTGTCTCCCATGAATTAGCCGCACACAGGCCCGCTGCCACAACCGCTTGTTCATGTCAAGTCGCCCCTACTTAATTAAGTCTGCCCTTTGCCAATTCCATAGCTGATATTAGCATCAAGTCACCAAGCCATGATGCCATTTCCCTTGCTAAGTCATTTTCCCACAAATTACTTAGGTGCCAACCCGCTCACCTACGCCAATGCAACACCGTGTTGCCAATGCCACTGCCTTGGCACTAAGCCGCCTTGTCTTAGTGCCTAGGTCTTTCCCTTATTGCCTTGCCAAGATTCCATCCAGCCCACCTTGCCCCTTGAAGAACTTGTCCTTTACTTGCACATAGCTCCACTCGTGTTTTAGTATAGTCCGTCACACCTTAGCCTTACAACAGTTTGTTGCCATTAACAACGCCCGCATTGTCTTGCATGTTGATTGCCCCGCACATAGGACAATGGCAAGGCCATCATGCCAAATCCTTACCACTGCCGTGCCATTTGCCGATCAACTTTGTCAAGGGTCTAACAAACCTCCCCAACCAGTTGAATTCGACGCCCTCGTCGAATAATCCCAACACATGCTCGCCATTTGCAAAGATATCACAAGTTCAATAGCCTTGTAAGAATTATGTTGTCCTTGCCCTCAAGTGCAATGTTTTTCTCATTTGCTTTTTCTGTCTGTCCTTCCCACAGCAAATCCAGCATGCAACTGGCTTGACTTAAAATAATCCATCGCTGATTTTAGCACTCATGAACTCGAAATTTTGCATACTGCCTTGCTTCCCTTTCCTGAATTTTCTAAGCATGGACAGTCCCTTCCACGAACAAGCACACTGACCTTTTGTCTTGCCGTCTTGTCCATGGATGTCTCTCCCTCATTCTGAACCTGGCTCTGATATCAGTTGTCACAGGGGCATTTTCTATCCGCCGAAAAGCTTCCCGCTATGCGGCATTCAAGTCCCTACTTGGCTCAGCCTTCATCTGATTTCTTTCGCTTTCGAGGTTTAACACTTAGAATAGTTTCAACGCAATATAAGATATATGAAGGCATACGTAGAATTACGGGAACCCTTTTTGAACCTTTTATAATAAATGAATTACAAAAGAAAATCTCGATTTTGGCAAGGTGGTGCCACCCTTGGCAGACACCAACTCACAAAATTGCTGACTTTTGCACAATCTGCCTTATAAAAGCCCATGCCTAAGACATTTCGTGCTGCCCACTGATTTTGGCAAGGCAATGACACATAATTTGCCATGCCCAAGCCTTGACATAGACAACCCTATGCCTACATCTTGCCTATTTTCCCTCCCTAGGTACTTAGACGAATTTAGGGGCTGCTAGCACACATATTTATAGTGTAGTCAGCCCTTTTCAGTTTTTCTATTTCAGTTGACACCCCCAACTGATCGGCCGTGATCAAAAACCTGCATGTCATGATCTAACACGCTTAAAAACATGCATTAACTTAACACCATGATCAGCTACTCTTGGACAAGGCAGTTGTAACCGCCCAATTGCACAACATGTGCCCAACACACTTTGTAACCGCTCCATGTTCACTACATGTGCATGTTTTTGGCCAGCTGCTGCACGCCCAAGGATGGCATTGCGCCCAGCCTTGCCCTTTTACACTTCTTCGCCCCAATGTCATAGCCACATCTTGTCACCCATGACTTAGTCGCACATACACACGCTATCACAACCACTTGTTCATGTCAAGTCGCCCCTACTTGATCAAGTGTGCCCTTTGCCAATGACACAATTGATATTAGCATCAAGTCACCAAACCATGATGCAATTTCCCTTGCTAAGTCATTTGCCCACAAATTACTTAGGTGTCAGCCCGCTCAGCTAAGCCAATGCAACACCGTGTTGCCACTGCCACTGCCTTGGCACTAGGCCGCCTTGTCTTAGCGCCTAGGTCTTTCCCGTATTACTTTGTCAAGCTTTCATCCAACCAGCCTTGCCCCTTCA